GTCATGTCAAATCTTGCGGACGCATCTCAGCAGTGACTGGTGTCTCAGAACTACCGCAGTCTCTCACCGCTGACTGTGACTGTGTCGCTGTCCGAAGACATCACGCGAAATAATGACTATAAAACGAAAGGAATATGTGAGCTTTGAATCACTATCCTTATCACAGCAAGGGGCCGTGTGTGTGTGTGTGTGTGTCAGCTCGTCAGTCAGACAGCGGTCACCGTTAAAAACAGCAGCTCACACTCTCGCGCGCAACACGACAACATCCGTTGATAAAAGTGCGGGTAACTACAGCGTTCGTCCCAACGAAGACTATAAATGATTCCTTGAAGTGATCAAATGTATTAAACGGAATCACTACCATGCCAATATAATCTCCAAAACAAGAAAACCAATGATAAATTGAGGTTGTGACTCACCTGTTCCCGAGCGCCGAGGAGCGCCGCCGCCGCTGTCACTCACCAACCGAAGATGCTCGAGCGCCGAACACAACTCCTCCGCTAGGGGCAGCGCGCGATACTGGTGCAGTGAACGAGGGGCACGCTGGGAATTGTAGTTTATTAGTATATTTACTAATAAATAACCAAGAAAAATCATTTTAAAAATAACCTACGTTTTAGATTTTTTTTATTTGTATTTAAGCTGTTTGAGAGAGTGGCTTTATTGTCTTAGTTTAAGATAAAGGGAAATAATAATACTGTAAATATGTCCCGTGTCTTGTATGTAAAGTAAGTAATTTTGAGATTCAGAGCACACACAAAAACTCGTGTTATTGTTATATAAAACATTATCCACGTTACAGGACAGTCTGGGTGGACTGCAGTGGCAATGCAAAGGTCACCTCCCTTTCTGTCGAATCTGCAGAAACAATTATTATTATTAGAAATATGTACAACATAAATGTGGCGTGAGGTCCTGTAAATACTTATAATTGTATCGCATATAAAACAAAATGATAAGTATTCACGGGACTTAATAACTAACCAAGACGATTTATGTAATTTAATTGTTTTCCTGTTGTTGAAAATCGACGAATGTGTTCTTGTTTAACGTCTGCGTGACATAAACCACACGCTTTCAACATGGCTGCGCCCGCAAAGAGCACGGATGCTTCAATAACAGTTACTACTGTTTCAACGGCGGAAAATGTTCCACTACAGTATAGTCTTATTCTGGATCACCTTATCGGTGGCAAAAGGCAAATTAAAGACCTGAATCCGACTGTTATGGGTGCTTTACCGAGCCCTCAGAAAACAGAGGAGCAGAAGATGATCGAGAGGGGAATGGAGAGCTGCGCGTTTAAATCACTCATAGCATGTGTCGGAGGTAATTCACTGACAGTCATTTCATATGTTTTACATGCCATACGCATTAAAACAGTCTAGTTACACTCGTTGCAAAGTTCAAATCTGTGTTGTCATGTCTGACAGTTCACTAGTTTATCAGTGAACACAGTAGAATCAAGTATTAGGCATCCTGTGGTATCTTAATAGTTCATACTAAAATATTGACTAATGCAAAACCACATAATACACAGCAATATTTGTTATAATTCATATGTGGACTGGTTTTGTAACGAGGAGATATTACCGTTATCAATATGTATTTAATTCACGACAAACGGCTCAAATGCAGTTTTTCTCTCTCCTGCAGGGTTTGTGTTGGGAGGTGCTTTTGGTGTCTTCACAGCCGGTATTGACTCCAACGTTGGGTTTGATCCCAAAGACCCCCTAAGGACCCCCACAGCAAGAGAGGTGCTGAGAGACATGGGGCAGAGAGGAATGTCATATGCTAAAAACTTTGCTATTGTGGGTGCTATGTTTTCATGCACGGAGTGTCTCATAGAATCGGTAAGTGCCATTTGTCTTGTTTTGTCGGACCACCTTTTGTTGTTGTCATGAATTTTTTTCCTCGAGTCAAATAAGCACAAATTGTTTTTGTAAATTTATGTTGTGATCAAATTCACTGTCCAAAAACAACTAGATATTATTTAGTGATGTTTTATTTCCAACAGTACAATGCATATTTAAACTACAAACCATTGATTATTGTTTTACAGGTTGCTTCTCGTTTCTTATTTGTGCATCCTCATTTCCTTACACCTTAGCTCCACCCCCTTAGGATTTGAGGGAAGGATTTGAGGGAAGAAAATGAGGATGGAGTAATTGAAGGAGAACTCATTTGTATATCAGAATATTCTTGATCAATCAAGCCTCATTTCAAAGCTTCATCAGCTGAACTCGAGGGAAATGCATAATGAATAGTAATAAAGCAGGATGCCCTTTTGAAATATGTGAGATGTATTGTTTATTTAAACTGCAAAGGTCAAATATAATTATTGTGTCAGAAGGGAAAGGACCCTATATGTGCATCAGGTGTTTTGACAGGAAACATTTCTGCATAGAATACACCTGTGTATCCGGTGGAAGCCCGTTTCCGCCACTGAATAAAAACAAATTAAGGAAATTGACTTTTTAGACTTTTTATCTCGCAATTCTGAGATAGAAACTCGCAATTGCAAGTTATGAAGTCAGAATTGCGAGATATAAACTCGTAATTCTGAGAAATAAAGTCAGCATTGCATGATACAAACTTGCAATTGCGAGTTATAGTCGGTCAAATAAGCACAAATTGTTTTTGTAAATTTATGTTGTGATCAAATTCACTGTCCAAAAACAACTAGATATTATTTAGTGATGTTTTATTTCCAACAGTACAATGCATATTTAAACTACAAACCATTGATTATTGTTTTACAGGTTGCTTCTCGTTTCTTATTTGTGCATCCTCATTTCCTTACACCTTAGCTCCACCCCCTTAGGATTTGAGGGAAGAAAATGAGGATGGAGTAATTGAAGGAGAACTCATTTGTATATCAGAATATTCTTGATCAATCAAGCCTCATTTCAAAGCTTCATCAGCTGAACTCGAGGGAAATGCATAATGAATAGTAATAAAGCAGGATGCCCTTTTGAAATATGTGAGATGTATTGTTTATTTAAACTGCAAAGGTCAAATATAATTATTGTGTCAGAAGGGAAAGGACCCTATATGTGCATCAGGTGTTTTGACAGGAAACATTTCTGCATAGAATACACCTGTGTATCCGGTGGAAGCCCGTTTCCGCCACTGAATAAAAACAAATTAAGGAAATTGACTTTTTAGACTTTTTATCTCGCAATTCTGACTTTTATTCTCAGAATTCTGAGATAGAAACTCGCAATTGCAAGTTATGAAGTCAGAATTGCGAGATATAAACTCGTAATTCTGAGAAATAAAGTCAGCATTGCATGATACAAACTTGCAATTGCGAGTTATAGTCACAATACTGAATTGCGAGTTTATATCAAGCAATTCTGTCTTTATAAGATGTAATTGCGAGTTAAGTCAGAATTGTGAGATATAAACTCGCAATTTTAAGAACATATCAATCCCCCCCCCCCCAAAAAACTGGACCTTATAACTTGCAATTGAGTTTATATCTCACAATTATGAGAAAATAAAGTCAGACTTGAGATATGAACTCGCAATTGCAAGAAAAAAGTCAGAATTGCTTTTCATCTCACAATTCTGACTTTATTTCTCACAATTTTGAGTTTATATCTTGCATTTCTGACTTCATTTCTCAGAATTGTGAGTTTGTATCTCTTAATTCTGACTTTATAACTCACAATTGAGTTTATATCACAATTCTGAGGAAAAAAAGTCAGAATTGTGAGATGTAAACTTGCAATTGTGAGGAAAAAAATTCAGACTTGTGATACATTTTTTATGGAAAAGGGCTTCCATATCCTCACATATAGTTCCTCGGGAAACATCCTTGCTCCTTGTTCCTCGCAGTGAAATTAGAGAATTTAGATTTCCTACTAGATGGCCAATGTTTATTGCTATCCAGGTCACGGGCTGGAGGATGGAGGAGCAAGGAAACGAGGAAGCATTGATTTGAGCATTGAGAAGCACCCAGTGTTTATTCTATCCTTCCATCCGTCAACCATCATCATTTATATACTGATGTAAACTGTACTATAATACTATAGTATACTGTTTAAAACACAATGTTCCGATTATTTATTAAAACTAAATCAATTACTTTTACTACTCCGATCTTTTGCCAAGTGTCATTGAGTTTAATATGGATTAATGGCTCCATCTAGTGGTTCTGTAAATGAACAGCCTTTCTACTCATCCATTCCTTGTAGGATGTTTTGCAAAAAAATTTCACTGGCCAATTTTTCAGGACTGATCCTCCATCTGAAGAATGGTTTTATTTCTCTTTTCTAGCATCGTGGGAAATCTGACTGGAAAAATGCAGTGTATAGTGGCTGTATTACAGGAGGTGCCATTGGATTCAGAGGCAAGTCATTTTTCAACTTGGGTTTAAAGAATAGAAAGGATTTAGATGTGTGGTAATGTTATATTATTATCTGGACTATATGAATAAGCTGTTTCTCTCTTCATTAGCTGGTCTTAAAGCTGGAGTTCTGGGCTGTGGAGGTTTTGCTGCATTCTCTGCTGCCATTGAATACTACCTCAGATGAACAGCAGCTTCAGGACTGTTACCGTGTACTGTTGTGAGTTCCTCACCGTATAATGGAAGACATTATCACAGGGGACATTGTGCAATCTTCTGTCCCAGCACTCGAGGCGTTCCATCCCTCCAGAAGAGAGTGGAGTGGACCAATAGGACAACACTTTGTTGTTTTTTTTCCTGAGGGATGTCTTGATTGTTCTCTGTCAGACCATCTGATGATGCACATCACCTAAAAACCTCCTAGGATGATATTTGTACATAATTGGATCTAAAATGATATGCTTTGTGCTGGTTGTTGCACTGAGCAAAATAAGATAAAATGTCCAGTGGTATACTTTGTCTGTGGAAGAAATAATAAAGAGTGGTATCAAGTTGGATGGGGTGTAACGGGGCATAACATCTTCATATTTGTTCACACTTGTTGTCTATATTATATTATGTAGCCGAGTAGTGTTCCAGTGAAACATTACCACACAGCTTCTTAGTAAACAAAGGCTGCTCAGTTTAAAAGAATTCACCAAATCAGATTTATTTTTTCAAAGTGGTGTTTGGATTTACAGGTTTCCAGAAAATAAGCTCAATCAAGCATTTATATTAGTTTCACTCTGTAGCCCCTTTCTAAAAGGAGAGTTCTTCAAATGTCATCCTACAAACAAACAGAAACCTAAATATTTATATGAAATCCGATAAAATATATATGTGAAAATCAGAATGTTATCAAAAATAAGAGGCAGGGAGTGCTAAAGGTTGTGCATTAGGAAATCCGAATGAAATCATGCTTTGAGGTCAAGCTGACATAGCAAGGAAGTGTGTTTTCCTCACCAGGAAACAGATAATGCAAACGTGCTTCTGGCTACTTCCCAGTTCTCTGAAAGGTTTCCTTTCCCACTGGCCTCTGTCTGAACAAGAGTTAATAATGCTGAACTGAGTTTGGAGATGCAACCAAGGAATGAGTTGGAAATAAGTGTACATTTTGATATAGCTTTCTGGACCACTGATGAAATGCTTTTAAATCCATGCAAAAATCTGAACACAGTAGATATGTAACTTGAATTAAACTGACCTTAAAATGAAGCCCACATTGTTTAATTTTATGAGGAATGGATGCCGTTCAGAAAACTGGGTAACATTATAAACCTTTAGAGTTTAGATTTCCTTTAAATTCGTTTCACGAATGCAAATATTAAGACAATATAGCAAGAAACGTCATTTAAAATTATTTTAAGACTTAGAAGCATGTTTAACGGACAAAGTTAGCTGTAACAATTCATTCAAATTATACATAGAAATCAAACCTACTAGCATAAAGAATTAAAGTGTCACTGTGATAGATGTTTTTCTTAGTTGTGTAATGTACTTTGAACATTAAAACAAAAAAAGTGAGCAGAGATGGTCACAACCTAAAACACGCCTGCCCAGGGCTCCTGTGCATTGAGCTCGTTTCAATATCACAAACAACTTTAATACAAGGCACTGTATTTACGATATTCCAGACAACACATCATTTGGGGTAAAACAGCTTTTATAGATTTAATATTTATTATAGCTTGATTTTCTATCCACAGACTTTTCCAGTTATCTGCATATACTTGCCTTCCTCCATTGCTGTTGCAACCATTTACAGTAAACTATAAAGCTCCAAACAAAGCACCCATCAAAACAGCCTAGTTTAGATTTGATATGTATTAAAAATCAGAGCAAGCTGATAAAAATTCTGAACATCTTCACCTCTTATTCCTCCACTTCTGTCCTTCTCACAAAATGCCGGTCATATATTTAATATTTAAGAGAATGAACTCCATTTCATGACCATTAATCCTTTTTTTAGTTTGAGAGACTATTTTTATGACAGATAAACATTAATTTCACATTACCCCTGAAAAAAAAAAAACACACGCTGCCTTAAAGCTGATTTTTGAAAGAAAACTGGCTTAATGGCTGCATTTTGTTACTGATTTTGGGGGTGAAATATGATCCAGACATGTTTTCATCAGATTCACCCAGTTTGTTATTTTCAGTAAAATATCTAAATAAACGAAGCCAAATATTCCAGTGAGAAAAATTCCAGTCTTTTTGCTGCCTGAGCCATCAGCAGAGTCAGTCCAGTAGAGATCTGAGCCTCTGTGGATGGCAAGCGAGGGAAAGGCAATGATGAGGTTTCACTACGAAATCTTTGGTCTACCAAACCCAAAGGTGTTGTAGGTATTTTCAATTAGAAATGTTGTCTTTTTGTAAATCACAGTCTCATCTTTCACCTCTAAATAATAACTGAAAAATTATAACATCTTTATCAAACCCTGAGCTGAGAGGAGGCCTTGAAGACACTAGACTTCTATTATTTTTTCCAAAAAAATATGATTATCAGCATCATAGACTATACTACAAGTTCAAGCATGGCATAAATAAGCCTAAATTTATTGATTTATGATCATGTAATTTCTGGATATAAACCTGTTCATACATAATGGATTTACACTACACGGCCAAAAGTTTGTGAACTTATAAAATTAAATATTAACATTTATAATATTAATGCTAGGCCCCTTAATTCAAGTCACATTTTACAGAATCCAACTTTGTGTGACAGTTTGGGAAGAATGTAAGATGTTATAGCAGCAAAGGAATGACAAACCCCTTATTAATGCCCACATATTTGATTTTAGATGCTTTTTGGGTGTCTACATGGCCATACAGTGTATTTATTAGATTATGGATATGCCTCATGATAAGCAGCCTAACCTCTAAATCATAGAGTGAAAAATGAGAGAAAAGAAAAGAACGTTGGTTATAGAAAAATGTACTGTAACAGACATCAGTAAACAATGAAAAGCATCAACGCAATACACTACAAAAAAAAACATGCATCATGATTAATATGGCCAACTCATCTGCCAAATGCATCAACAAAACTAAGGAAAGCATAGTGTTGCCATAGACAAGAAGCAGCAGCTTGAAAGACTGCATAGTTAGTTTTGAAAAGTACTAAAGCTTTAGAAAGGGAGAGCAAAACACATCCTCTCTCTTTCAGTCCAGCAAAGACCCCGTTCAACCTCCAAGAGAGTGAGCTGGGAATTTATACACACTCTTATATAAGTCTTCTCTCTGTCTCTCATACACACACTTGCTAAAGGCAACCTTTAGGTCCAGTTTGTCTTGGAAACACTAAGTAAGAGTGCATGGGTACGTACTGGGCAACTTAATCTCACAGTTCTGCACTTCTGAAAGCGCTTAATGGAATCTAGAAGTCACTGTTAAAAAAAACTCAATACGCCATACAGATGCATTCATACGGCATCCAGCATTCCCTAAATGTATTATGAAAGATGCTGAAGGTTGTGTTAAAAGCCCTGAAACAAAGGCTTCTGAGTTCCTTGCTAAGCCTACACTTACACAAGCGCTTATAAGCCACAGATTATCCCTAAAATGACCCTAGGCAACAGCAAATCACCCTTTTATACTGCAATATTCATCCATGTAGAATTAAATATTATTTATTTACAACTCAAACTGTAGGCTCAGTTAATAGGAAGATAAAAATTCAAGCCCCATATCAAGAGCATTTCACACTTCACACTCAAAAACACAATTACCAGGGTTCCCAAATCTTTCAAAGCAACTTTTCTGGATAAAATGTTCTAGAAATTATTTAGCAGACAGCAAATCATTAAAAGTGGTGTCTAGCCAAAAAATATTCAGCTGAAGAGCAACAGACATGATACTCACTACAGAAAGTATGAATTTTAAAGACTTCTGATGACTTTTCTACACATGAAAATCTCAAATGTAAAATTGCCTGATATTTTCCTTCTTCTCAAGACTGTAGGAACCTAGTATTACATCCTTTATACATGCTTTCAGAGTAGGCTGTCATGCAGCTTTTCTATCTTTAACCATGTGTTCACATGGGCTCTCCAACTACCCACAATCCCTTGCCTTGAAGCCATGTTATTGCTTTGACTACTGCCTGGAGATGCCCTCAGGCATTTTGTGGCCTTAAATATATGCCAAGCATTATGTGCTTGCTCTTTATACCCTGCAAAGACCTCATCCCCCTATAGACTGGAGTCCTGTCTATGCCATGTAAACATAAGGACCGACTCTCTACTGCCCCCATGTGTATGGGAGGATTTTGTATGCTCAAAAGGCCCACAGAAGTGAAGCAGAATTCATTAGCAGCCTCCAGAGTGTAAAGGGCGGTGTGTGGTAGAGACGTGTAAACAGTCACAGCAGGGCAGTGTGTGTGCAAACACATTCACAGAAGAACAGCAGCACTGCAGCCATGGAAATGCTTACCACGTGATGGGAGCTTTGCGCCGAGAGGGATGTGATCTGAAATGCTGTGGGTTTAATTCAATGAATTTATCATGACAGCCGTGCCACTCGCATAATAAATTCTCTAGTTTAAACCAGTGTATTTTTGTACGTCAGCAGCATTTCATATGGGACAAAATAAAAAATAACAAAAAAGTAACAGATAATTCCAATGACATTCAAAGACACCAGTCCAAACTGTAACAGATACTCCAATCAGAGAAGGAAAAGAGGGCTACGGCCCTCAATAACTGACCTAGAAGATGCTCCTTAGAAGTCACTGCATTAAATCCAGTGAAGTGCCATTTTAACGGGCGAGTGTGTAATTGTGAGTGTGCACATGGTATGCAGTAAAGTGAAGAGGAGTAATAAGGGTATTTCTAATATTAAATCTTGATTGTACTGTAACCGTAGCAGATGCAGTGCCATAGCCTTCAGCTGTGATGTCTGTTGATTGTTTGTTCTAGATAAAGACAGACCTTCACTAATCAGCTTTGGAGATATCTGAGACCGGCTCGGGCGAGGACAGCGGAGAGGCCTGGTTTTGCGCATCCCGCTGCCGCTTGTAGAGTCGGTAGCCTTTATGGCAGAGGAGGACGAACCAGTAGACCTGCGGTGCCAGGATGCAGAGGTTGCCCAGGTTGGTGGAGAGTGAGAGATGGAAGGGAACGCTGTAGAGCGGGATGCCGTAGTGGGAGCCGTAGGCCCAGTACATGTAGGGGAAGAGTGCGATGCGGCACATGAAGAAACTAAGCAGCACCATGCCGCCATTAACCTTGTGCAGCCAGCAGTCCTGCATCCCCAGCTACAGGAAGAGACAGTCAACACAGAAGAATGAGAGGAAGAGGTAGTTAAACTATTAGAGATAGTTTCCCCAAAAATAAAAATTCTGTCATCATTTACTCACAGCCATTTTGTTCCAAATCCATAAGAATTTGGTTGAAACACAAATTAGGATATCTTTCTGTCTCTCCATTGAAGGTCCAGGTAACTGAATGACTGAAGACCCAAAAAGGTCATAAAGGCATCGTAAAACAAATCCATATGAATCAAGCAGTGAAGACATACAATCGCTCTATAACAAACACTTTAGGCTTTTACTTACATATTAATATACATGGAGTACATCACATATGGTAAACATGGGAACTTCACAACTCATTGGTTCTCGTGCATTGCATATGCAAATGTGCTCTGTGTATGTGTGTGCATTCATCAATGTTTAAATGTGAATAAAAGACTAAATTAAATCTGTTCATCATATAAAGCAATCATATCTCTTCACACGACGGATTAAACCACTCAAATCATATGGATTCATTTTACGATGCCTTTATAAACTTTTTGGATCTTCCAAGTTTTGGTCACCTGGACTTTCAAAGGAGGGACAGAAACCTCTCAGGTTTCATTAAAAAATATTTAGATTTGTGTTTCAAGGATCACCCAAAGTCATACAGGTTTGGAACAACAAAGGGTGAGTAAATGATGATAGAATTTTTAATTTTGGGTTCAAGGCCTTCAAAGCATTTCTCAACAAATAAAATTGTGATTAAAATTGTGATTGATCCCTTCCCATGTCAGTTTCATCCTGCTAAGCCGTTCTTTGTCCAAAAAAAACCCGTCAAAGTGGACCAGACTTATGATATTTTGTCATTTCAACTACAGATGCTGGGACTGCTTTAATATGCAATACCCATGACTACCAAAAGGGGGCATGTGCAACAATATAAAAGAGACATGTCTGAAAGCAATTTCACTTAATCACTCCCAATAAGCAGAAACCAAGAATCAGCACAAAAAGAGTTATTTGGAAGAGTACAGAGATTAGAAAATTAATGTGCACAGAGAATGCTCCATTTAGCAGGAACATGTTTATGTACCTATCATACACTGTCATTGGGGTCATTTTTTCCAGTGAGTGACAGTAAATAAATTACAATCTTACAAAAGTTTTCTATTAAAAAATGCTGTCAATTACACAGTCCTGGGAAAAAATTGTTAAAACATGACGAGGATTTACATTTTTCAATGTCCCAGGGTGCTATACATGAAAAAATGTCAAATTATTCATTATTATTATCACTTTCTCCAATCAAAATGTTCCAGGATTGTCATTCAAGATGTGACCATTTTTGGTGGGAAAACAACAGCAGAAACATAAGTATTAGCGATTTTCACTTTAAAGCAGGAACACTAAGTGAATGCTTGTACCAAACATCTCTGCATTTAACACGCACTTATCTTGACTAAATGAAACACGAAAAGTGTTGACTGGCAGCTCCTCTGTCAAGCTGTCAGGAAAAGCACTATGAAGGGCTGCGGAGTAAAATACACACTTGTGTGTTACCTGAATGAGGATTTTGCCCAGTGAAACAAAAGGAGTGCTGAGCTCTGTGAGGAAGAGACAGCCAATGAAGTAATCACCCTGGTCCTTCCTGAAAAACTGATGTACACAGAGAGAGCAAAAAACAGTCATATTTTAGATTTCATCATAAATCATTACACTTAATATTAAAGAATTGGAATCTAAATGAATCATTGTCAATGAAAACATTTACAGCCCTAGTGACAAACCTGGCACTATACATCGCAACTCACACCTCCTTGTCAGTGGTTTTCTAATCATCTTAGGCTGAAGTCATTCAAACAGTTAAACGGTTCAAACCAGGCTACAATAAAGTTGTAAATTATAGGCAATACTAAATTAAAAGACAAACAAGTGAAACAGACCCTCATGAGCAAACAAAAAAATTACACTAGACAAGATGTACAGAATGGTGTTCTTATAGGAATTACTCTATGACTAGTTTTGTGAATGATCCACACATATGTGATATGATACACAGCGGTGGATATGGTGGATCGAAGATGTGTAGTGTCAAAACAGCCATCTGAACTCTTCCAGCTAACCTGCAGTGTAATCTAAACCACACTGTCTGGGGGGATTTGCAAACTGAGTCTTTAGCTTCTAGAATATTAACCTATACTTTATTTGTCTATATATCCTCCTTTCCCATGCAAAATACCCTACTAAACATTACTGTAGGGTAATGTATTAACTAATGTACATTTTAAAAATGTGTGAAATGTTATACATCTTGTATAACTCGCGGGACAGCCAGATGTTTTGTTGTGGTGGTCTGGGGCTTCGTCTTTCTTTGTGTTATTACCACACATGTCAAAATCTGTCTGTCTTTGTGACTTTATGTTTCATGGGTCATTTTGTGGAGCAGGAGCACAAAGCAGAGTGTGTGTGAGGTGGTATCTGAGTAGCAGCTGTGTGTGAATAATGGAAGCGTGGGTAAAGTGATCTCATATCACCACTGACAGCCCAGAGACACCAAACAAAAGACCAGGTTTCCACCAGTGTGTGTGTGCGCGTGCGTGTGTGTGTCCCACTGCATGTACTCTGGCAGTGTAACAGCTGCTATTAAGGTAATTGTTTCTCACGGATCAGGTACTTAACAGACACAAAAGCACTGCATCCCCCTTTTTACATTCCCTACCATTTGGTCCTGGCTATAGGTGGAGGTGGTTATTTGAGAAGGCCCATTACTCTCTCCCATCATATTATTGGCTGTCATATCACTCATCCTATATATCTGTCCTCTCTATTTTTCTCTCTCTCTCACCAGAGTCACAGGCAGTAGGATGGTGAGTAGTGCAATGTGATGGAGGACCAGCAGGAACTCTTTCCTCACAAATGAGTTGACGGTTCGTAGAGAGTGGCTTTTATAGTCCTTGTGACCTTTGACCCGGAAACGATAGTAATGGCTGAGGTACATGGCGAAGATGTCATATGACATGTAGGGAACGCCATACCAAATGACAAAATAGGTGGCCAGCCAGTGTCTGGAACAGAAGACGAACAGAACAGGTGAATAAATCATGAGTGGAGTGATTTCAGACAGTTTTTTCATCTTGTAAAAAACAACCTTTTATATATAAAAAAAAAAAAAACATTATAGAAGTTAACAGTTCAAACGTTTGGGGTCAGAAAGTTTTTTTTTTTCTTTAGTCTCTTTTATTCAACAAGGATGGATTAAACTGACCAAGAGTTACAGTAAAGACTTTTACACTGATACAAAATATTTCTATTGCAAAAAAAAAAAAAGCTGTTTTGGACTTTCTATTCAAGAGTTGTGCTGCTTAAAATTTTGCTTTAACAAAAATTCAACACTGAAAATAATAAGAAATGTTTCTTGAGCAGCAAATCCTCATATGTGGCCATGGACCACAAAACCAGTCATAAGGATCAATTTTTTGAAATTGAGATTTATACATCATCTGAAAGCTGAATAAATAAGCTTTCCATTGATATATGGTTTGTTATGATAATATATGATATTTGGCTGAGATACAACTATTTGAAAATCTGGAATCTGAGGGTGCAAAAAAATCTAAATATTGAGAAAATCACCTTAAAATTAAGTTCTTAGCAATGCATATTACTAATCAAAAATTAAGTTTTGATATATTTACGGTAGGAAATGTACAAAGTATCTGCATGGAACATGATCTTTACTTAATATCCTAATGATTTTTGGCATAAAAGAAAAATCGATCATTTTGACCTATACAATGTATTGTTGGCTATTGCTACAAATATACCCCAGCGACTTAAGACTGGTTTTGTGCTCCAGGGTCACATATTTGAATGATTTCCGATCATGTGACATTGAAGACTGAAGTAAAATTCAGCTTTGCCATCACAGGAATAAATGACTTAAAACATATTAAAATAGAAAACTTTATTTTAAATTGAAATAATATTTCATAATATTTTGTTTTGAACTGTATTTCTAATCAAATAAATGCAGCCTTGGTTAACATAAGAAACTTTTCAAAAACATTTAAAAAATCTTACTGAACCCAAACTTTTGAACAGTAGTATGCTAACTAGATTTTCTGAAGAAAATTATTGTTTTGTGCAAAATTTGCTGCCATATTGTTGCACATTGCTTTATGGTTCGCGAACATATTCTGAGTGGTTGTACCTGTAAGTGTGTTTCTATATGGTTTATTATGGTCCTTTCATATGATTCAGGTCCCTTCTTTAATTTGCACAAAAAGACTAATAGCTTGATAAAGCACACCACTGAAAAACAAGAGATCTAAAGAACTCGTGGGGTTTGACATTACATTAAAAGTCCTTTATTAAAATATAACTGCAACATAAAATAATTATAATAGATTTTCACCTAGAAGAGTCTTCTTGTGTGTGGACTGCAGTAGACAAACAAACAACTTTAACAGCCGTGTATTTTATAGGGTGTAGCTAAAAATGTTTGCTTACCACCCTTCATTATGCCATGCTCTAGCAGCAATTTTTAAATGTCTAGGCTACAGAAGTAGTCCATATTACATTTTATATAATATTTACTATATGTATTATGTAAAAATATGTAAAAATCTATGAATAAATTGATAAAATATTAAAATAATACTTTGTAATACAAAGTCACACGGATCCACAGACTTTGCATATGTGATTAGTGCTGAACTGTTTAATTAGAAAGAGAGCTTATGGCTACACTGGCCTGGAACATCTCTATACTGTTCATACACACCACACACAAGATATACATCAATTATATGGTAAATGTAAGTTTCACATATGCACAAACTAAAAGAAAAAAAAACGGAAGTACACGAAGCCCTGGCCATGCGCAATTATTATCAGTGAACATACACACTTGTCAATTAACAGTATGCATAAAAGCTTCAGAAGACTTAAAATATACAGCACAATTTAGTTAATTGATATTTTTATGGTGATTTTTGCCTTTCTGCCTAACACCACATCCTAATCCCATGTTCCTCCCATGTATGCTACTGTTCAATAGTTTGGGGTTAGTACAATTGTGTTTGTTTTGTTTGAAAGAAATTAATAATTTTATTAAACAAGTATGCATTACATTGATCAAAAGTGACAGTGAAAAAATTACAAAAGATTTATATTTCAAATATATGCAGTTGATTTGAACATCAAATTCATCAAATAAAATCCTGAAAAAAAAAATGTATCATGGCTTCTACTAAAACATTAAGCAGCACAACTATTTTCAACATTGATAATAAGAAGAAATGTTTCTTGAGCACCAAATCAGCATATCAGAATGATTTCTGAAGGATCATGTGACACTGAAGACTGGAGTAATGACTGCTGAAAAATCAGTTGAAGGAGGAATAAATTACATTTGAAAAGATATTAAAATAGAAAACGTTATTTTAACTTGTAATAATATTTCACAATATTTCTATTTTTACTGTATTTTTCCATTAGCCTTGATGAGCATAAGACACTTCATTCAAAAACATTTAAAAAAACCTTACAGACCCCAAACTTTTAAACAATGTGCAAATCTTGTTTTGTTGTTGTTTTATGACTTGATGCATGGAAAATAAAGAGATATCTAGCTAAATTAAAGAGATATCTAGCAAAATGTACAAGCTCCTCTTTTCTATATAACTAGTGAAACTAAAATATATTTAAAGTGAAAGGTAAATGCAAACATCATTCCCTAATTCCCATCCACTTCCATTGAGTGAAAAACAGCAGCTTGGGCATACTGTGAAATATGTGGGTGAGTAAATGATGACATAACTGTAATTTTTGAGTGAACTATGCTTTAAAGGGGTCATATGATGCAATTTCAATTTTTCCTTTCTCTTATACGCAACGCAACGCGTAAAAAGACAGTATAAGTCATTATAATCAGTAATTATGTCCCCACTGGATGCAACAAATGTCTCATTCACAATACTTGGCCACATGTCACGTCACTTCACTACAACATAATGTTCTTTTTAGCAACATCATATGACCCCTTTAACACTCACAGTGTCATTGGATGCCCCTTGTCACTCAGGATCACGGCTGCGCATGTGCTCACGCCAAGTATTAAGCCTCTGGGGGATTAACTGAGAGGTTGGGAGTTTTCTCTAGGCCTGCCTGGCAAGTGCCTTCTGTGGATTACCCTGTTACGCCACAAACACACGCACACATTTCCCCCGTCCCACATGAACAAGTGGCAGAGGCTGAAATTGCAGGTGTCATTCTAGTGCCAGGGAAGGGCAGAGAGAGGAAGATAACAGCTGTTGCCCTGGGACTCTGTGTACCTAATCTCCTCCTCTCTGTGTCCCTGGGGTAGGGGCGGAGCCAAAGGGGTCAGCAGATGTGGCATAGAAACAGAGGTATGCACTGTTATGATTGGCCACTGAGATGACGAAAGCCATGGGCAGGTAAGGTCTAAATGGCCTCCTTCTTAAAGTGGCATTGCACCATTTTGAAGATCAAATTGTTGACGTACTGTAGTGATGCGCAAGAGGATTTAAGCAGATTTCTTATTTTGTAATGTATGCTGTATTTTCCAAATTTTTGAGAACAGAATGTACAATCAAATTTTGGTATTGGTGATATTTTTTTTTGAGAGAGAAGTCTCTTACGTTTACCAAGGCTGCATTTATTTGATACAGTGAAAACAGTTATATTGGGATATTATTACCATGCAAGATTGTATTTTAATATTTTTCAGATATATTTTTATATTAGTGCAGGGCAACGATTAATCGCATTCAAAATAAAAGTTTTTGTTTACATAATATATGTATGTGTACTGTGTATATTTATTATGTATATATAAATACACACACATGCATGTATAGAGGGGTTACCATTACAGGACACTATCACTACAAGTCATTTCTTTACCAAATGGTAACCATTCATTAATGTAGTCTATGCGAACATGCACATTTGAACAGACAGTAACCATTAGCAATATATAGCAAATATTTGAGCTTGATTCATTAATAATAGTCAGAGGTCACATGATATCTCTTTCCATGCTGACTGATGGTGTGTTAGTATTTTCTCTTGGGTCTATACTCTGAAGATGCTCATATAGTATACTGGTGAACAGGAATCAATAAGCTGGTTAAATATGAGTGAACAAATACTACAGTCCTATATGGTATCCACCAGTTCCTTGTTTTTGTATCTGTCCTGTTTAAAGGGGTCATATGACTTTGCTAAAAAGAGCATTATTGTGTGTATTTGGTGTAATTAAATGTGTTCATGCAGTTTAAAGTTAAAAAAACACATTATTTTCCACATACTGTACATTATTGTTTCTCCTCTATGCCCTGCCTTTCTGAAACGTGTTGATTTTTACAAAGCTCATCGGTCTGAAAAGCGAGGTGTGCTGTGATTGGCCAGCTATCCAGTGCGTTGTGATTGGCTGAATACCTCAAGTGTGTGACGGAAATGTTACGCACCTACCATACTGTGATGCCCTGTCCGGCCGGAGCGACGAGACAAAAACATTAAAACCCATTATAATCGAGGCATTTGTCGCATCCAGTGGGGACATAATTACTGATTATAATGACTTATACTGTCTTTTAACGCGTTGCGTTGCATCGCGCCGCGTAAACATAAAACCATGTCTGCATTTGTGATCGGAGAAATGACAAACAACAAGTGCTACTCTACACTGCTCAAAACTCGTGTTTGAATCATCAGTGGCAAATTCTTTAAATATGAAAACATACTTACAGGCTGTGAGTCAGAAGCGCCAGACTGTCCTTGCAAAGTTGGAATTGCCCCACTTTATAGAAACAACCCTTGTGTACAGTATTGTAGTCTACTCTACCAGGATCAGGAAACGGTCCGTAAAATGTGCTGCACACATCTGAATATTTGGGTTGAAGTGTTCTGGAACAGTGTTGTAAATACAACTTAACCACTGATTTCTATTTGTGTCC